CAAATTTATGGTCACAATTATTGAGTCATTAGGTAACTTTGTCTTTTATCATGTGCCATTTTTTACAATCAGATGATGCCGATCATTGTATCATGATAATGATGAAATCAGTGGCACTTAAAAAAACTTTTTCTTAAACCAAAGTGGCATCCTATATAATTAGGATCAACAAAATCACATTTTTTTTATGGGTTAGCAAAAACATATCTAGGAGTAGGTGATTATATAACTGTGATAAATTTGAGACGTATTGTCCAACAAAAATAATTAGCTCTCTCTCTCTATATATATATTCACCCATTTTTGGGGTGGAATAGATGATGGATCCAAAATCTTCTTTTTAATTCAATTGAGAAGCAAAATCTTAATTTATCCCAAGAGTAGCCGTTCCAAATAATACACATTATATTACTTTGTGCTTCACCAATTATTGGTGAAGGTGGTGAGAATCATGCCCATCACCACGTTTTTGGTGAACATGTGAGATGGTCTTGTGCTTGGAATGATAACCATCACCTTAATACAAAAAGACTATCCATTCTTAATTAAGATTAGTTATCTAAAATGTTGATTTCGAAACATCGAGACATGTGTTGAATGCTTGAACCTGGAAGGTTCCTTTCACTGAAAAGAAAAAAAAATCCAAGAGACTTGGCCTTATCCTTTGTTCGAGATTGAATTTCTCCCGAAACATTAGAAATATGATGATGCAAGAGTAGTGGATGGGAATGGAAACAATCCATTCTAGGAAGCTTTATCTGAGACATTCTGATTTGTCCGATGTGGAGAGTGAAGTTACTGAAGTTGTTACCAACAGATTAGTCAAACAAAAAGGCAATGCTGGTAAATATCAGAAATCTGAAAGTTAAAGGACAGCCATGCAACAGTGGATTTGAAATCCAACAATTGGCAAATTTAAAATTGATCATAGATAAGAATTACTACCTTTTTCCAGGATTGGGATTGGGATGGGAGGGAGACACTTCGGAATTGGGACTGGGAATATATATATATATATATATTGTTCTCTTTATTTTTGAAAAAACAAACTAATTATTTGTTTATTTCAAAAACTAATTAGCTAGTTTTTTTAACCAATGTTAACCATGTTTAATTTAATGTTATTTTATTTTAAAAAATGTCATCTTTTTCATTGATTCTTTCATATTTTTTACTTATTTTAAAAAATTAAAAATATAAACAATTATTAATTTCTATTAATTTTTTAAATAAAGAAGACTAATTAATTCATTTTTAAACTAGAAGACTAATTTATAACTTACTTGGATATATATAATAATTCTCCCAATAATTGAATCCCATGAAGAAGAACGACCAGAAAGAAAAAGAAAACAAAATTAAACTTAGAAATTGAATTAAAAAGAAAAAGAAAAAGAAAAGAAAAAGAAACTGCCATAAATTAAAGGACCTAAATCAGAATATCTAATTACTTACGCACGTTTCTAGTTTTTTGTTCCTTAAAGTTCATCTTGTTTGCGGCTATTTATAGATACATGCTTGAATTGCTTTGATGGTCGTCCAAGTAATCCGATCACAAAACTAATAATTCTTTTGCGTATGTTTGGAGCATACTAGAATATTATTTATTGTGGATAAATTTATTCATGAGATCGATTAACAGGATCCTCTCATTCAATCCATAACTAAAAAATGATAAGGATTAACTAATGAAGAAACTATGTTATAAATAAGATGAAGTTACAAGGATTAATTAAGGTTTGTTTTTAAAAAAAAAAACAAGGATTGAGTTACTGTATTTTTAATACATATAGGGACTAAGTTATAATTAATTCTAATTATTACAAGCTGAAGATTTTTTTTCCTAAAAATTTAGGGTTACAATAATACTTATGGTAATTTGAGAATGAGATTTATTATATACATCTTGTCGCTTTGACTTTTAGGTCCCCGTTTGGTTAAATTTAAAAATGAGATTTATTATACATATCTTATTAGGAATTAAATGTTTAGAATCAAAATAAAAATTAAAAAATTAGAATATTATTTTTATTAAATATTATATTTAGAATAATAATAACAAATCATGATAGAATTTAAAATTTTTAACATTTATTTTTTAAGACGAATATGAATAATGATTAAAAAATAATTTCATCAATTATAATGATAGTTAAAATGATAGAGGTGATTGTGATGATGGTAGTGATAGTAGACTAGTAGTATAGTAATAGCAATAAGGTACTTGTTAAATTTATCAATCAAATTGTTATTCTCCTAATTTTTTTTCAAAAATTACCAATACATCTTTCATTAATATGTGTTACATAATAGTTATTGGTAATTATATAGAAAAAATGATAAAAATAATAATTTGGTCGATAAATTTAACGAGTACTCAATAATATATATTTTTTAAAGCAATATAATACCACTACCATAAAAGTGGGATTATAAAAAAGTGGTGATGGTGGTATAAAGTGGTGGTGGAATCATAGTAATAATAATTTTTTTTTATCATCACTTGTCAATGTTGGTGGTGTTATTAATGGTGATAGAAATAGTTAATACAAAATAATATCACTACCATAAAAGGTGGGAGTATAAAAAGCGATGATGGTGGTATAGAGTGGTGGTGGAATCATAGTAATAATAATTTTTTTTAATTTTTTTTATAATTACTGTTAATGTTGGTTGTGATGTTATTAGTGGTAGAAATAATTGATACATGATAAATAAAAATAATATATCACTGTTTTCAACAAGAAAATATCATTTACATTTTGTGTTTTTATTCTCATATCTATCCATGAGAATGAAACTATATTTAATTTTTACTTTTTACTTTTCAATCTCATTTTTATTTTATTTTTTGCAACTAAACACCTATAAAGTGAGAGATTTTTTTTTTCATTCTCATTCTCAACGTTCAATTTTTTGTTCTCAAACAACAGCTTAGGATTCTTAATTAATAAATTATGCTTTTCATTGAGAATTTGATCATGACTTTTAAGATTGCACTAATCAACCCATGGGAAAATATTCAATGACGAAATCAAATTGATTAGAATGATCAATGTTGGAAAGAGATAATAATAAGAATTCTAAACATATTCTTGTTCGACACAACAGTTGTAGTAAATAATTCCCCCTAGATATTGAAGAAATATATGATTCCATTATAGTCTTCTTTGCATCTAACTTTTGACATTTGTTCAAATTATCTTTTTATATTTTCAAAGACGAAGGAAATATACCACTTGCCACATTTTTATCTTAGGTTAAATCAAGTTCATTCCTCCTGTCCACTAAAATATCTCAACTAGATTTGTTTAATATATAAATATATTTCAAAAAAGAAGGAGACAACCTTTTTCTCAACTAGCAGTACGTACAACTAGTTTTAGTTATGTTTAATTATGTCCCCTAAGTTTAGCTTACGTAAGTGATTATGAAATCCATTGAACATTCGGAGTTTAGGGGGTGTTTGGCTAAGACTACAATGTATGTTGACCGTTTTAACACTTTCTTGGTGAAGTTTGAAATTAGAATCAATTCAATCACCTCCATTTTATTTTATTTATATTTTTTTACACAAAAGAAACTCATGTTAATTTGCAACTAAATCCTCGCTAGGTAAGCCAAGGAATCATGTTAATTTGCAACTAAATTCCTTTCAAAAGGGAAAAAGAACTAAGAAAAAAGAAAGAGAAAGAATGCCATGAGAAATTAATTAAGAAACAATGGATATCAATTATCTTTCACATTGTTTACCCTCTTATTATGAGAACGAGGATTGATACGAGTAAATTATAAATTAGTCCTTCTCGTTCGAGAAAAAAATTAATTAATCCTTCTTGTTTTAAAACTCGATCATTTAGTCATTTTTTCTATTTTTTAATTTTTTCTATAAAAATAGAAAAGAAAAAATAAGTAAAATTATCAAAAGATTAATGAAAAAATATATCATTTTATATAAAAAAAATTATTAAATTAATCTTGATCAATATGTTAAAAAGATTAAATAATTAAATTTTGAAACTAGAAGAACTAATTGATTCGTTTTTCGAAAATAGAGACTGATTCATAATTTACTCGGATTGATTTGCATAATGATGGACTGATATATTGGAATATAAAAGGGAATAAATAACTATGACTTGATGCAAATTCTTCCTTGGACCGACTTTTCATTATAAAAACATATGGTTCATGCTCTCCAAGTGGTATCATAAATTATTATTATTATACTAACAAGAAAAAAGCATTTCTAGTTCAAACGACAAATAGAATATGTGGGTAGTACAACTATAAGTTCCTTTTTCCTATTAAATTATGACTAGAGGTTCTTGTAATCTTCTTCATAAATTTTTATGTAGACATCCTTAAAAAATGTACTTGAAATTTTCTCTTCTCCAATTATGTTATGCACATGCCTATTATAGAAATGAGAAGGAATTTAACTTCTTCTTTTTTTTTCTTTTGCCAATAAAGATAGATAAATAAAAGAAACATTATTTATTATACATCTACATATATTTAGAATAAATTCTACAGCATTTAAGTCAAAATTATAACTTATGATATTTTTCATGGTACTAATTAGATATAGATATGCTATTAAAAAAAAAAAAAAAGGTCAATGATGGGACATGAGCTAGAGAACTAAGTTGTTATTCTTATTGTCTTCGCCATGAATTTAACAATTTAATATCTGTAAGTTGTACAAATGTTAATTAACAATGGGCCCAAATAAATGAAGAGATGTGTTTGGTTTAAAATCCAGGTTCTACCAAATAATCCATCAATTGAGCCCATAAAAAAAGACTTACATCAACTCATGAGGCCCAATCCCATTTTATTTTGCCTGAGAAGTCCATGGATCACAACCACCCACAAAATCAAACCTCTCCGGTCTCCGCTCCAAAAACACATCAAACCCCACCAAAATCCTAGTAGCGACTGTGACATTGTCACAAATTTTCCCAAGAAAATCAAACAGAAAAACAAGCAAGAGAAAAATGGGTATCTTTGCAGCAATAGGGGTGTTGCTTCCATTCCCATATTACTACTGGCTGTGGACAAACCCACAAGCATGGGTGAACCTATGTGGGAAAGACAAGGACCCGTCAAAGGTGATGGCCTATGTTTCACATTTCCTCAAATTGTTGCAGTTCATTTCTTTTTTTTCAGTTTCCGCTCTCTCTTGGCCTCCTGCGTTCTACTTCTGGCCCCTCTTTGGCTTCGGTCAGTTCCTCAACTTCAGGTTAGTCAGTCACTGTGACATTAATATCTGACGTATTTCATCTATGGCTGTAAAGATTGGTCTTTTTAATTAAATATTGCACTATATGATAACTTTTTGATGGTGATGGGTTGTTGGTGAAAGACCCAGTTAGGAATTCATGTAAAGTTTTCCTTCATTTTTTGGTGATAGAAATGCAAATGCTTGGTTATGCATACATAGCACATTAATATACGACAAAGATCGGTTTTGGTAGCTTAAATGTTTCCGAGTTGTTAACTTTTTGATGGGGAACGGGGATGAATTGTTGGTTATGGACCCAATTCGGAATCTTTTTTTTTTTTTAATGCTTTATGGCATACTTTATCATTCCATAACTAAGTGCTAGTTGTCATTGATTTGCTTTCCTGTTAGCTCCTATCCTGTAGGACTAGGTTACCCCTGTTGCTCAATAGATGAGTTCGGTTGAATTGGAACATAAGAACTGGCATACAATACACACCATTGATAAAGCAAAAAGGTATAGTTTCTTTCATTTCTTATTTCTCTCACTTTTGCACTATTTTTTGGGTTTACTTCCACATGGGCAATCTACTAGCCGTCCCTATGATCTTTTTCATGTTAAAATCGATGCCTTTTACTGGCTTCCATTTGTATAATAAGCTTATGGTTCAGCTAAAGAAAGTGTATTTTGTAGGTTGTTGCTGGAGTTTCGTTCTTAAAATTAGTCTTTCTTTTCTTTGTCCAATATATTCGATGGTGATAGGCCTATTCCTACCAATAAGACCTCCAGCCAAACTAAAGGCAGAATCGATCCTCATATCTATGACACTTTTCTAGAAAATATTCGCAAGCAGGCTAGCTTGCACATTGATGTTAAGATATGCCTATCATTGTTTTATTCTGGTCACTTGAGCTTGGTCGATGTTGTTGCTCTGTGGATTAATCTTATAGTTTGCCTATAATTGTTGGTTCCATATTCCAGCCCAGGCTTGCTTATTCTTAGCGTTTCAGCATGTCAGTAAGTTTGTGTAGTTTTGATATTAGTATATAGACAGTCTGTTTTGAGATAAGAACAACCAATCAAGCAGTCTGTGAAATCAATGGCTGTTGTTGCATGATGCTTAATGCTTGCCTGAAAAGCATAATTTCTTCAAATATCTAGGTTCAATGCCTCATTCTTGACCACACTGTTTGTGATTTTGCTTTTTGTGTTTATATCTCTTTTGACATTTTTGGTTTTCTTTTTCCTTTTCCCTTTTTCCTCTAACCACACAGTTTTAACCTACAGTTTCAGCTTTCATCATTAAATTCTGAACTTTATGAGAATCTGGGCTATGTTTTTGGATTGAATAATAATCTTCTAGAATATCAGATTTGGTGAAAAAACTAAAAGATCCTGCAGTAGGTGGGGTTATCAAATATGCCTAGTTCTGATACAGAACAGCTTTTCGCCAGCTTAATTCATTCTGCGTAAATTTTGGCCTTTGCTTGGCATACCCCATTCAAAAGCAGTATAAAATAAGAAATGCATTTTTAACTTTCCTGTTAAAATAATGTTTACAACCTTACAATGGACACCCCTTGCATACTTTATCTTCCATGATTAGATGCTTATCTCTGGATATCTAGTCCTGATTCCCAAGTCCCTTTTCGTGAATGTGCATCGTGATACATGAATTCATGTTTCTTTGCTTGGGCATTCCCAGGAGAAGTGTACAGTACAGATTCCCAAGTCTTTATGTTGTGGCTGATATTTAGCATGTTTTTGTACTTGTAATTGGATGACTTCCATGTCTGAAGAAAAGTTGTTCTACAATTTTAGCGAATCACTGTATCTGTTTTGGGGAGTTATAATTCTTTAGCAGTAGGGCACTGGTAGTGGATAGTAAACCAGAGACTGTTCCCTTATAATATGATTCTGAGGCTTTACTTGAATATTTAGCTGCTTCTCTCTAAAAAGTGTAAAATTGTGTGGAATTATGTTGCTTCTATCTACTTCATTTTGTGGTTATAATAAAGCTGCACTATATAGGGTATACCAGTTGCTTGGTGAATCAGGTACTTACTATGGTGTGCGCTTTGGGAAGAGCATCCCCTGGGTGACAGAGTTCCCATTCGGGGTTATACAAGATCCCCAATATGTTGGAAGCATCATGAGTCTTTTTGCATGTCTATCATGGGTCCCTTTCCAATACATTCTCCTGTGGACTCTGGGCTATGTATTCATGATCCATGTGGAATCAAAGGAGGATCCAGCTACTCGAGCAAAGCCAATCTCTTAATTACAAATGTTGCAATTTTACCATCTAATGATCTCCAAGAAGAGAGTAGATGGTTGGAAGATGCTCCCTTTCTCAGCTTTTTAGGTCCAGCTGAATAACAACTACATTTTGAACATCTTGGCCCTGTATTTCTTTCCAATTTTGATGATTATTTAGTTTTCCCATTCTAATTACTTTAGAAGGTGCTTCTTTGTTTTCCGAAGTGTCATTGTCGCATAATTTTCATTTAGTAGATTTACTTATCATTTAGTTGAATATTTTATCAGGCAACTAGTTGAGGCATTGAAATTTTGAAGTTATATTTTACTGAATTTTATTACTCGAGTCGTTGTATTATGTGTGATATTAAGATTGATGGTGTCATCGGGCTATAATCTACAGATGACAGAAAATTGTTTTTGGTAGATGGCTTCTGAATGCACATCTAGACGATTGAAATCCTGTGCTAACTGAGATGGCTATAAATTACAACATCCAGAGTTAAAATTCTTTCTGTCACTGTCTTGACACTACCTGTAGAAAATTGAAATCCTCACCGTTAGTCATTTGGGGAGCAGGGGTTGCATGGGGGAAGCAACAAGTCAACTAAATCTTCAAGATTATTCGTATGTCTCATTCTTCAAACTTTACTTCACAAATTGGCATCTACCATCAATGTGGATTTTCCAGTGGTTGGACTTTCATAATAAAAATGAAAGTTGAGGGAGAAAAGGAAATAGAAGAATCACAAAAACAAGAATAATAGCTTCAAAATAATTAAAGGCCCTTCTTTTCTTTCTAGACCAGAGCCAGGGACATATCAAAAATTTGCAATGCCTGTTTCACAGCTCCTACATCTATGTCTATTAGTTTCCCAGTTTTGGATGAGATAATAGTGCATTTCTTCTCCTCTGCTTTGGGAACAAATAGTTTGCCCTTCTCTTCAGAACCAAACAGTGCAATGCTACGAAGGAAGAACACAAACGCAAATCAGAATTGTTGATCAGAACAATTTCTTTGAGCAAAGAAATCTACCTAGGTTTCTCGCGTGCATTTGCAAGTTGGATTGCTGCTGTGTTTGTTGCAATCACCCCAGCGGAATCATTGATGAGGGCTGCCAGCTGAAAAGAAAACAGAGTTATAATTAGCAGAATGAAACAGCCAACATTACAATTTGGAAAACTCTAATGCTTTCTCTTGCTGTTGATTATTATTCACTTTCTGAAAATGCTTTTATTAGAAGAAACATGATTTATTCACAGAACCTTCGACAGAAGCCATGATGTTGAAATGATGTGTCAAATCTATTTTCACTTAGCAGTACTCTTATTCCAGTAAATTTAATTGTATTTACATAGCAACGCAAAATCATATATATTCCATTTTCATGCTGATGAATTTTCCTTGCTTGGTGAAGTAGTAAAACTTTCGGACTTGCAATCGCAAGTACACGTATTAAGATCAGGCACTCTCGACATAACTGCTGGCAGATAGGACTATCTCCAAACTTTCCTCCAAGAATCAACTTTGCAGGAAATTATAACTTGATAGTAGTTTCACATAAGGTATCCCCTTTCCACTATTGTTGTTCACTTGAAATTATGACCCTCGAACTTTTCTCTCCTTCTTTATTTTATTTTATTTTTTTTTTCTATTTTTGAGAATTTTTGGGAAACGTCATAATTTATAAGAAAATGACTGGAAGATGACACTTACTTGTCCTGGCGTAGTGATGAAGAGAATACCGATATCTTCATTATAAATTATTTCCTCCACATTTTCCCTTTCTTTCTCATTTGGAATGACAAAAACTGGCTTAAGTCCACTGTTTGAAAGATGAGAATAAATCAAAGAAGAGTCTATTAACTAATACGAAAGCAAGAATACTCTAAAAGTGCCTAAATATCTAACAGTCACATGGGCTTCCATCTCATATAATTGATCCTGATGGTAGAGAAAAACATCTTAATATGTTAGGAAAGAAGAAAAGAAGTTATCCGTAAATCTTATGGACAAAACTGAAACTAAGCAAGAGAACTTTGAATACTTTAGATAGTTCTTCAATGATAGAGCGTATTTTTGGACTCCATCCATACCTTATATCATCAGTTATTTTATCCCATACTTCAAGAGGTAGCAAGCTATCAGTATCACCCTTAGACTGCATTGAAGCCTTTGAATCTGATTCTATACCATGAATCACAATATATTTCCCTTTCTCTGCACCAGCTGCCCTATATTTTGCCTCTACATACTCTTTCAGCTTCCTTGAAATCGAAACTCTTAGTGGAGGCACTGGTTGTCTAGGCACATTGTAATATGCTCTTCCTAGCCAATCAAGCATCTGATGGTACCTAAAGAAAACACAGTGCAATTTTTGGGTTAGGCAGGTTATTACAATTCTGTGCTCAGGTTCTCCTCAGCAATTTCGTGTGAGCTTCATGTTATTGTGTCGCGTTCAAAATCAACCCCACCCCGCCTATCTCTCTTTTGTAATAAACAAGTTACAGTGAAAAACCATTAACACTCAAGGGGGTGTCTAACTTTCCATGGACCAAATGATTATGCTGTGTTATAAACTCACATGTGGTAACCCCCTTCTGAAAGATTCGTGCTGTCTGGTTTGAACGTTTCTGTTAGAAGCAGGTCTGCTCCTGCTGCATTCACGTTTGGGTATATGTAGCTAACTTTATCCCGAGCCGACGACATAAACATGAATGCTGCATGGCCAAGCCCTGCCAATTTGGTTGATAAGATCGAGTCATAGTACCTATTCTGCAAGTACAAGGCAACAATCCTTTAAATCCAACCAACCTAAGCCAATAACCCTGCAAAATGGCAAATTAATATAGGAACCACATATTGTGGTTAGGATTTTAAGACTTAAACGAAGATGCTTTAATTATATCTAATGTGAAGTAGCTGGAGCCCTTCACTAAAAATTTTGGCATCCTAAATATTGCAGTCTATACTCAATTTGATACTGAAACGGAAGTTTCAGCCCGTTCAGGTATCCAAATGAGATATAATCATCAAAAGAGCAAAGACAAATATGAAAGCCACCAACCTTAAGAATTCCGATCATGTCTGTATAAACTGCTGGCTCAGGATCACCGTCAGGATCATAAACATTTGCCCATCTCACATTCTTATTCAACTCATAACACTGTTTCCCTCTATCTGATGCCAACACATCCACTAGAATACCAGGGTACCTTAAACACGACCATGGGACTATTAAGCAGCATTAATAAATACAACAACAATTGGCTATTTGTACATCAGTACAAATATACTAAATCATAGGATGATTCCTTTTATATACGTTTACCTGTCTTTCAGCATTTGAATGACAGGAAAGAAGAGCAAGTTCTCATAAACACCACCAGAAATCATACAACAGCACCTCCTAATATCACCTCTAATTTTCAATCCCAATTGAGCAACCTCTATATTGAAACCTTTTGGGAACTTAAGGAATCCATATGGGTTGTTGGGGTTATCAGCTGGCCTAGTATCTTCCTCTTGCTTGCCATCTACAAACAACGAGCCATATTCCATATCAGGGTCCTCTCCATCATCAAAAATGTCAATCCATGGGTTCTTTTTCTTTGCAGAGGGGGTGAGAATGCTTGATTTTCTAGTACATGCAAGATGGTCTGCTGGTGGGTTAAGAAAGGATGGTTTGGTGGTGAAGTGAGTTGAGGGAAGTGAAGGTGGGTTAGTGAGGAAAGGAGAGATGGTTTTGGGTAGGAAAGATGTTGAAGCCATGAGTTGGATAGTTTTTTTTTTTTTTTTTCAGTTGGAGTTAGTTTTGTTATGCTTACTTCTTCGCTATGAGTTGCGGAAGTTGGGATTTGAATGTGTGGAAGCTAGTTGGATAAGTGTTTAAGTGGGTCCATGCTTGCTATTTTTTTTTTTTTCATTTTTCATTTTTAAATAAAAAATAAAAAATTCATGGGATGAAGGATTGCTTGAAGAGGATAAGTAGCAAAATGAAAGATATGAAGAGGCAGTCTAAATACATTAGACAAATGCTAACGGTATTCCATGGGACCTTCTGTATAGTTGCTCTCTCTGTTACTAGAAAATGTTTTATTGGGTTTTTCTACCAACTTAATGTTAGCATTGCATTTTTGTACAATAATTTTTTTTTTTTTTAATCTCCATAGTACCCCAAGTTCAAAGTTCAAATATCTAGATTAATCTCTCGTCATTCGGTCGAATTTACAAAACAAGAACAATCATCTAAAATTTTTTTCGAGTATATGAAAACTCAAAATCGAAATTGAAATCAATTGTTTTAGCGACTAAAGTTTATTCCACTTAACTTAATCATCTTCACTACAATAAAAATCTTATTTGATATCAACCATCATTACATGTAAAGAGTAATTTTTAGACTTAATGGTTAAATAATGATATCGCGATATGTGTACTTGAATCAACTTTTATTTTACTAAAAATTTATTTTTTATAAATAATCAAATAATTTGTCGGATAAAAAAATATATGATGTATATATTTTTGAAGGAAAAAAAATCCTTGTATATTCTCAAAATCACGTGTCAGATTTTTATTCAATAAAAAAATGATTAGAATGTACGTAGCACGATATTATTCATCAATAGTTAAAAGCTAATATTATTAATATATATAGAGATAGAAGGAGAGTTGATATTAAATAAAAAATTTATCATGCAAGGACCCAATATTACATTACGTTACTAAAAAAACTCAATAAAACATTTTATGCTAGAAGAGGGAACAACTGGATCGAAAGCTCGTATTCCGTGCAACAGAGAAAGCAAGGAGGATTAATGGTGGATGATGAGATCGTGATGGGAAGGACTTGTGCGCTAATGTTCGTAATCAACCTCGATCGACTCTATCTGTGGCAACTGAATATTAGTAGTTCTAATGGATTTAGATAATGGATGGGCCTGTTTCCAATACAGAAAAGATTGGATCCAAATAAATTTCAACTGACACAAAATATGCCTGTTGCTGCCCTAGATTTTGTTTGTTTATCCACAAACATAACATATTTTACTGTTTTTATATAATATTTAAAATTTTTAATATATTTATAGATTTTTAATTACATTCTATTTATTTTTAAAAATATTTAAAATATTCAATATTTTTTTTAATCAAATAAATTATTTTGACCAAAATACTTTTTGATTGAAATGTGAAAAAAAATTTTAAGATTTTCAAAATAAAACATCCAAATAATGTAATTTTAAATTTTTTATTTTTTTATATTTAGTAAAGGACATCTTGATTAAATAAAATTCATTATCAGAAGAATAGATTGAACATTTAAAAAAATTTCAAAAACAAATGATAGATTTTGAGTATTATATAAAAATAAATATAAATATTTATCTTAATTTTTTATTTTTTTCAACCTCACGTATTCTTAGTTCATTTTAATTATCGCCATATTTTCAGAAACCAATTTTAAGAAAGTAATTTATGTTGTATATTTATTTGACAACAAACAGTATCATGAAACTAATTTACACATGAATTGAAATAAAATCCAATTTTCAAATAATTATAAACATGCATTTTCTATATGAGTTTTGTATATTTATTCCTGCAAATACCCAGTATAAAGTTGGAATTCAAGAAATTAAGTATATGAATTTAGTATGTTTTTATCCAGGACAGTCCATCTGTCTGCTTTCATGTTTAAACGCAGGAAACAAATCCAAAGTAGCATGTAATTCGGATTACGATATCAGGATAAAACATTCTCAACGAAACATCAACCTTTTAGGAAAGACAGCCATCTTGTTACGTGGCACATTTTAACTGTTAAGTTCCCTTTCTCTCTCCAAAAAGAGAGAGAGAAAAAAGTCCACTCCTCAAAACTTTGTCATCCTGCATCTCCACACCATCGGCAAAGTTGCTCTCCACTTTCCCACACTTTCTCACTACCCAAACACAACCATACTTGTTCTCTCTTCAGAAACGAAAAGGAATTTCAATCAGCGTCAACAACCCATTTATACCCACCAATGCAGAGCTCAAATCTCTCACTTTACTAAGCTCAAACAATGACTAGGGCGGCAAAAATTTCAGCTTTGAAAGCGTAAATTGGAAGCTTTACTGGGGGCATTTTGGAGAAGAAGAAAAACGAAAAAGGCAATGTCAGGAGGACCACCTAGAGTGCGGGCCATGAACAGCAACATAGAAACGGAAAACAAGGAACCAGAAAAGCCGGCGACGAAGAAGAAACCTGCTGACGAGAAACAACCGCCGCAAGAAACGGAGTCCAACAAGAAGAACAAGAAGAAATGTGGGAGTGGCAAATTCGTTGTTTTGAGACAAAAGTCCATGAATGCTTCCTGCTCCTCCGACGCCTCATCGGAATCTTCGTCGCCGCTCAGCCGCGCGTCCTCATCGTCATCGTCGTGGTCCAGTGGGAGAATGGCGGTAAGAAGGAACGCGGTGGTGGTAAGGAGGAAGCAATGTGGTGGTGGTGAGGAGAGTGAAGCATTCGTGGGGGATCATCATACTGATAACTTTCAACTTCAAAGTACAAAAAGGTGTGCTTGGGTTACACCTGCTACTGGTAAAATTTTTAACTTCTCTCTCTCCCTCTCTGTTTTATGTTTATTCTATAACTGCGTTTGAATTAGTTGTGTTTTTATTTGGATATTGATTTTCTTGCGATTTGTGAAAGTTCAAAAGTGAGAGGTTTTGATGGTAAAAGTTTTAAAAGGGTATATATTCTCGCACTGGATGTTTAAGTTGGGTGGTTTAATGCTCCTGCTGAGTTTTGGAAAATGGAGATTACAAAAAGGTAGAAAATTTGTCTTTGGTGAAAAAAAAGGGAATGAATTTATGTTGAAATTGGGTTTAGAACATGCTAAAAGTAAGTGGGTTACACATTAAATTGCAAATTGTTGCACTCTTGTTATATTTCATGTCAAAGAAGGCACTTTCTTTGAAAAGACTCATTCGGTTCTTGCTGCCTATTAAGCAAGGAACCAAGGAGTGAACTTTCCGGTAAAAGGCCCTTGTGAGGTTAATAATCTGCTTCCGTTAGTAGTTTGCATCTGTTGTAAAACTAATATCTCACACAAGAAAACCTTAGTGCGTTGTCTGATGCGTTGTCCTGTTGATTAGAGGGATGATTAATGAGAGCTTTGCTATCATACAGGAATTTGGCCTTAGTTGGTTTCTTTGAATGTAGATAGTGCAAAATATTGAGTAGGAAAGATAAAAGGAAGAATTTCTCGATAAATCTTCAATTATTTTGACACAAGCTTTTGTCATTAAATCTCGAATTAGTGTGGCATAAAACTTTAAAGAAGTGATTTATATTACAATTATTTTCATTGACGAGGCAAGATGCTCATATCTTGAGGGGGTTAGTTGACTTAAAGTATCCTGCATTAGTTAAAGCCAAAGATGAAGAGGATTCATCTCCATCTCATCTGTGGTCATGCTCCAGGAGCAAGATACTGCTCTTCACAGTCCTGCGGAGCTAGACCTCACCACAAATCATTGATCGGAAAATAAATTTCTTTTCAGACCAGCAGAGACTAATGTCCTGTTAACTTTAAAGCTTCCTTATCAAAACGTGTAGGATGCTCACTTTGCTAAACGATGTATAGATGAACTAGGAAATTATAAGGCTCTGGTTTGTTCTGTTGCAAAGCATTTTGACGACCACGCAGAGATCATTGGGTAGTCGATTTGTTTTATAGGATGGCCAACCAAACAGTTAAAAATCATGTAGGTAGAGGGTATCTTAGACACGAAATTCTTTATTTCAGGCTCTGCGATTTATGGCAAATCATGACAAGAAACAAGATAGTTTAAATTCAGGTTGCCAACTTGTAAATGTTCTGCATTCAGTGGTGGGCTGCAGATTGCCAAATGTTTTGCTCACTCACAATTTTCTTCCTTTGATGTTATATAATTATAAGTTTTGAGCTTGTTGCAGTCACCAATTAATTCCAAACCACCACCGCACCCCCCTTTTTTCTCTCACAGATACATGCTATGCCACTTTTCATGATGAAGAATGGGGAGTCCCAGTCCATGATGATAAGTATGTCACTCACAAAAACCTTTGGATAATCTTCTTCTAAAGTAAAAGTGGATGTGGTAGCTTCCTCAGTCTCTGATCATTTCTTTCAATGTGCAGGAAGTTGTTTGAACTGCTAAGCCTGTCAGGAGCTTTGGCTGAACTTACATGGCCTGTCATCCTTAACAAAAGGCATATATTCAGGTATTGGTTACTTCAAATTAAATGTGTTTGTTATGATAGACACACTTGCTGTACTAGCATTCAACAATCAAAAGGCAATGTGAATTGTCCATGCTCAAACTTTTAATGGGTTTAGCTTGGTTGACATGGAGTTTATCTGGATGCAGAGAAGTCTTTTTGGATTTTGATCCAATTGCTGCTTCAAAACTAAATGAGAGAAGGATAGCACTGCCAGGAAGCCCTGCCAGCTCCCTACTGTCAGAGCTAAAGCTTCGATCAATCATTGAAAATGCACGTCAAATATGCAAGGTAGAGACATGGACTTTTTCTATTCAATTTTTTTTCATGCTGATTAATTCATATTTGTAGCCTGATAATCGACTTCCTGTTTTCTGTTATTTTTGTTAACAACTTATGGTAAAGAAAGTTCTGGCCACGATGTATAGTAGAAGATTGCCTCAACCCATGACCTCTAAACCGCTATAAACTCACATCTATTTGTTGATGCTGCAGGTCATAAATGAATTTGGCTCATTTGATAAATACATCTGGAACTTTGTTAACCATAAGCCCATCATAAGCCAATTCCGATATTCCCGCCAAGTTCCAGTCAAGACTCCAAAAGCAGAGCTCATAAGCAAAGACCTAGTAAAAAGAGGGTTTCGAAGTGTCGGTCCAACAGTTATATACTCATTCATGCAAGTGGCTGGACTAACAAATGACCATCTCACAAGTTGCTTCAGATTCCAAGAGTGTACGACCAAGGGAGAAGCAAGGGTAAAGGATGGCTTTCTCGAGGCTAAGACCAAAGTGAAAGAACTTGAGGATTCAATGGATGTTGGATTGTCTAGAGCTGTAAATGACTAGAATTTCTCAAGATAACCTTAAAAAACTTTGGTTGGTAGGTTGTAGGCCATGCCAATTGCTGCGTCTGGAATTCCTTTCATGGAGGCCTGTGGGAAGTGATTTTGTACAAAAGATAATTACATTCACAGAAAGCAACTGCAAGCACGTATGTGTGCAATAATTTGATTCATGTAATTATTTGTATGAATGACATGGCTGTTATGTATGCATATCGTTTTCTTTGTTCAAGTAACTATGCTGGAAGATTTTTCATCTGCTTTCAAAATCGAATCTTCCTTGTCCTTGATATGGTGTCCATTCTTATTAGCTTTCAGTTCCAGGGGAGACTTATTTCTCCTTGCAACCCAAGGGGTAGATTATTGTATTAGTTACTAGTGACAGACTAGGCACTGACGGCATTTTTCTGTTTGCTGGTGGCGCAGGTAAATTTATGTGTTGATATGTGTTGAATTGACACGGTTTTAATGACTTCTGTAATTTGAATAATCTTTGTGATAATGTTTTCGCTTCTTCACATGTTTCAAATGGTTGGATTCATTTTATTCATGGAATAACCATCATGGACCAACTTATTTTCTGTAAGTGATGGAGACCTTGATGCTCCTTTAGATTTTTGAAAGTCATCTTAATCAAAATCTGCTCACGTTCGATGATTCGGTGAATGCAGGTATTGCAATAAAAATTCGCTGTCAATTACTTGAACTTTCCATATCAGCGTTTCAAGTTCTATGTTCCTTTCCCTTTCAATGATGAGTATAGATTCTGAAATTCCTGTAGTCAAATACGCTTTGTGACATACATATAATTCTCACTTTTCCTTTTGGATTACGGCAAAATATTCTTCCAGATATGGCTGCTGCATGTGCAGCAGAAAAATTGGGATGTCTTGCTTGGAATAAGCAGCCATCAGTTACACCCCAAATTCTTGGAATGTCAAGTGAATGAACTGTTGGTTTTGATTTCTTGGCTTGTTACTGGAAATGCTTGTTCTTAAAACTTTTACCAAGGCATCTGAAGATACCACAGCCTAGTTTGAAAACCTCAATATACTCCCTTCTTCTCTAATGGTTAAGCTACATAGTGGTTACCCTCTTTGTCTCTTTCTTTCTGGATAGTAATCTAATTTTTTATTCTTATTGTGTGGTTTAAGACTCGTTGAATCCTCTGTTGAATAATTTCCTGACGAAAATGAAACGATAAAAAAAAAAAAAAAAAAAAATCCTTTCTGGAGATAAAAGGATTGTCACTAGCAGATTATTTACCAAAAACACAACACGTGTGATATCTAAACATCAAGGCAAACAGTCTAAAATAGTTGGAATACAAGATAAGCACCCCATGAGGACATCGACCAATTCCTAGTTTCCTACATCAAGGTTACAACCAAATCAACCCACAGAATCCTGATAATTCAAAACCGCCCGCAAAGAATCTTGATAAGTAGTCAAATCAGCCGGTTATATTTGACCGAAGAGATTATATTCCAATCCTCAAGTCTCGTCCAATCTCAACTACCTCGACTTAATTTCAGACCAGTTGTTGCACTTGAACACATGCTTGCTTTATACCATTCAAAAACATAATTGGAGAAAAACAACGTCCCAATAATTCTGGATGGTTGGATCGATGTCTCAAGACTTTTTTATACACGGAAGTTGAACGACATAATATGACATAAATGAAGTGTTGCTGGACTCCAGCTGTTCTAACCAAACAGTCATTTGGCCAACCAGAAAGAACCTTGCACTTACAGTCAATTTAAGACATCTAATTAATGTACAATTGCTCCCCTAGATGCCATAAAATGGCAATTATCCATTGAAATATATCCAAAACTCACCTACTATCATAAGCTTACGCTTGACTCTCAAAGACCATTCACTCAAATGGTGGATTATAACAAATAAAAATATATCAAAAACTGACAATTATCCATTAAAATGGCAATAACCCAACTTCAACAATTGCTTCTCAACTTGAATTTGGATTCTTCATGTAATCAAGTTCAATCACTCAAGGCACTATCTTCCTTGGGAATTTTTTTCTCCATGTATCAAATGATGTATTTACAAATACATTGCAAAATTCAAAATGGTCTAATAGAACCTACATAATTTATAGAAATGAGCTAACTTTTCCCCTATCTAAGTAGAAATTTCACCACTTCTCAGAGTGATTTTGCTGGAACATCCTTCCTGAGATTGCTGCGGCCAGTGCTGCTGTGAAATTGGGATCTTTCGTCAACGAAGAGGCCATCTGTTCCACCAAAAATTGCCGGACTTCAGGTGCATCTGATTTTGGTTTTGAACTTTTGGCATCATTGCTGGACTTGGATTTTGTGAGATCAAGAGTAATGGTTGGCCCAGACGAGGCTAGGGAGGCTGAGCAGGGTACTGAACCGAGTGCTAGACTACGGCTTGAACCTGATGTCGCTTCCACTGAGGGATGTGGATGGTTGTGCTCCCCTTCATAAGTTGCCACTAGAACAGATTGGTCGTCGATACTCCTTTGAACCTGAATGAACCACAAAATAAGATAGAAGCATCTTAGCATTCATCTCGCACAGAAGAGAGTTGGAACTAAAACCTCTATTTCATGTACAGATTAGAAAGAAAACTTGGACAAATTAATAGTCCATGTGAGTTCAAATGCCTACTCAATATGATATTTGTTTGCCTGATTACAGCTACTACAAAGAACAAGTCGGGTTTTGGATGAAATGGACTCAATGCTCTTATATATGTAACAGAGAACTGTGTTTAAGATTTTGGCCTCACCTTCTTTTTGACAGGGCAGCTTGGAGCAAAAGAGCATTTGAAGTAAGCTCTTGGCGAAGGGTTATCTCTTGTGACCTTTTGGCCATATTTCCTCCATTGGTATCCATCTTTCACGATCTGCAATAAATTAGATGCAATCGCTTAGTAACCCATGAAAACATTTACATGCCAAATCAAAATAACCTATTGAAAACACTGGTGATTTTTGCACCAGAGGAGTGTATTATATGGACTTACAAGGCCTGTATCACCAGCTTCAGTCCGGACATAAGATCTGGAAATCTTTGCTTTGATGACTTCTTCCCTTGGTTTCTTAGATGATTCCTCATCGGTTGAGCTGGTCTCAGAGTTCCCATTCGTTGCAATGTTATTATCGTTGTTGTTGCTGCTTTCAGACTTTCTTTTCTTTGATGAGGCAAGAGGCTCCTTTTCTCCGTTCTTGCTCATGTAATCCATCAACTGGCTTCTTAAAGCATTATAGTTCTCACACATCACAGTTAGCATTTCAGTCAGCTTCCTGTTTTCTTCGCTCACTCGGTTCAATTCCTCTACCAAAGCTCCAGTCTGAAAGTAATTAAACAAAATAAAATCAACTTCAAAACTTCAAGAAGACTGCCAGCTTTAGAAGCACCTCGCATAAGTTCCTATTCTAATCAAGTTCAGCAAGTCCTAGCTAAAACTTAGAAGGCTAATCGTCTCTTTTGCATAAGTTTTTTTTTTTTTTTTTTTGAATCCATGTGTTGATGTTTTATGCAAGTGGTTGGCAAGCAGCAATAACATTTATATACTTTCTTAAATTCAGTGACAAGAATTCATCATGTCTAGTTCTTGCTGGAATTTAATTATATAAACATACTTTCTTGAAGTTTGTTTCAAAAACAAAACCAAATAAAACATAATAAGCTGTGTATTAGTCTTCAATTGACGGCCAGAAACCATATATAGAAGGGAAAAAAGAAAAGAAGTTATGCAACTAAAAACTCCAGACACAAACAAATCACAGCAAAATGATATCTGCATAAAAAGCTAACCTCCTCTTTCGCTGGAGGCTTGGTCTGAAAATCCATGAAAGTGGGTTTCCTTTTGTTTGCCATCGCAAATCTCTCTGCATCTACTGGAGCATCGCTTTTCACTCTCAAAGGATTAATATTAAGATCCAAAGAAGTATCAACCAAAGATGAATAATCCATAGCCGCCGTAATCGAACTAGTCCTTCTTGACAATCTTGTTCAAAATAATTGACCAAGTGAATTAGCTAGAAGCTTATAAACCAAAACTCTTTCAATCTTTCTCGACAATTTTTGTAGCTGTAGCTAGCAAAACTTTAAAAACCAAGAAGTTGCTAAATTTAGACCCAGTTAGAACGAACTGGAATGCAAAAACTAGCGTATATATAGAACTAAAAAAGGGTCTTGTGGAAACTTGGTGGAAAGAGAGGAGGAAAAAACAAGAGATAGGATAACAAGTGCATATGTTTTTGTCACATGAGAAGCTGGCATGTGCTTTTTTAATATTATTATTATTATTATTTAGATACAAATGCTGCTGAATATAGATTGATGTGTGAGACGTTGTCGGTTGGGAATTGACAATGGGACAAAGTTTTTGTCAAAGTCAAGCGCCCACCAAAAAAAAGGTAGGAGTAGTAGCAGTGTAGTATGAGTAATAAATAAACAATGGGTGGTGTGTGATTGATTGGGTTGTGTGTTGCATGCGTGTGTAAGGTCAAGTTTTTAGAAGTTAATTGTTGACCAAATGCTGAATTGCTTGATGCACCTGCCCAACCTATCTTCCAAGGGAGGTAGTAAATATGTATTCTTTCAACAAATAAGATAAAATTAAAACTTGAAGGGTTAGTGTAGTGTGTCTATATATATAATGGTGTGTTTTTGGATTTTTTTAATTAATTGAAACTAAATCCATCATTCTTTTAGTGAAATCAATATTAGAATAACTTAATCTTTCATTGACCATGCTTTTTTGGATTGATCGGTTCAAACTTGATATCATTAAAATATAATTGTGGCTTACTATCTATAAATAATAAGAATTGAATCTTAATTTTAATCAAATTGAAATAATTTTATTATTGTCAAATCATATTTCTTGATGGTAAGAGTTACTACAGTTAACAAGTGCATATGTTTCCCCACTATTCACGGATAATTAGTCATAATTATTTCTTAATGGTATCAAATTTAAACTCATTTGATATAAGAGGGAGTCTTGTTGTCAACCAAAGACTAAACCCCGTTCGGTGTTATTTTAATCCAATAAATAATGAATTTAATTTTGATTGATGTGAAAACTAGTCCGAAAATATCATACTACCTCGTTAATATAAAAAAAAAGTTCATATGCTTATGACCATCTTGACTTCTCCACTTGGATTTAATTTCAAACCAAAGACTTGTTAAATCTTGAGCTATATAATAAAAAGTAATCCTCTCATTTTACATAAATATTTAAATAAATTAAAAATACTAATGTTTGAATTTGATTTATTTAAAAAATCTATCAAATATATAGCCGATAAAACTATGATGTCATAAATTTTATGAATTTTTTTTAATTTGAAAATAAATAGGTTGATTTTGAGTAAACTCGGGAAAATAAACTTAATTTAAAGTTAAATAATATTATATTATAAATATATTAATGACATGTATTTTAGTTTGTTAGTTTGTTAATCTATTATTTTGTTATTAGTCGACTAGTTAGTTATAGGTTATTACTAAGTACAAATGTAATCTTTACACTTACAATCTTAATTAAGCTAATAACAAAACAAGTTTACCATCCTCTATCTCTCACACGCACTTTACCTTTCTCTCGTCAATTTTTTTCGTCTCTTCGATTCAGTCAAGAAATTCAACATGGTATCGAGCCTAAATCACTCTAGGGTTTGCAACTTAATCAATTTCAATTATCTTCTCTCGACTTAATCATTTTCAATTATCTTACCTTCGTTTGTTTCATCGATTTCAATTTTCATCTTCTTCAAAGCTTCGATTTCACCATGGTTGTTTAATCAACTTCATTTTCTAATGATGTTATTTCTTCATATTTCATTCACCATTCGGATCACCATAGTTATTTTGTAGCCACTCCAAAATTAACCACATAAAACTATGCTACTTAGAGTAGGTCATTTGCTCTAGCTCTCTTAGTTCACAACAAGCTAGGATTTATGGATGAATCTATTTCGAAGCCTCAAGATAATGATATGCTTATTAATTTTTGGAATTGATGCAACAATCTCATAATAGCTTAGTTGTTGAGATCTATGTCACCTTCCGTAGTTGTAACAATGTTCTATATGAACTCCACTATGAAGATTTGGAAAATTTTGAAGAAATGATTTTCTCAGCCAAATAAATCTAGAATCTATGATTTATAATTATCCCTATGCTCAATTACATAAGGTTCTAGATCCGTCAATGCATATTTTACTAAGCTAAGTGGAGTATATGAAGAGTTAAGGAACTTCGGACCTCTACCTCACTATTGTTATGGAACATGTAATGCTAACTTGTTTTGAGAAGTTGATAAAGACTTATGAGAAGGACTATTTGTTTAAGTTTCTCACTAGATTAAATGAATCTTTTTCTTCTCTAAAATCTCAAGTTACGGTTATGAAGTCATTTTTAAGATTTAGATGAGGTATATAACTTGGTCATGAGGGAAGAGTCTCAAAGATTAGTACAATTATTGCAACGAACCTTTCGGTGAATGTTCTATTATGGTCGTTTTTTTTATAATAAAAAGAGGTCGGATATTTGCTACTCATATTATGGAAAAATAGGTCATAACAAAGACAAATGCTATTGACTAATAGAGCTTCCCTTCATATTTCAAGTTTACAAGGAATAAGAATTTCAATGGTAGTTTTCCCGGACATAGTACTTCAAATTTTAGTTATGGTCATACCTTTGGTAATTCTTCTTGTCATATCAACGGTGTTGTATCGAATAAGAAGAATCTACTCAAGATGAGTTTGTCCATAGTGTTGCTTCAATTGGACGGGTCACATTACCAAATATTGTCTCTACTCAAGAGCAAGTTACAAGACTCGTGAATCTCTTGAATGCTCAAGATTTACAAGCTTCTTCATCATGATATTCAAATAATATCAACTTTTCTACTATCGGTCATACACGACTCTATATCTAGCCTTACAGGTAGAGTTTTCATTATGTCTACTTATTCATAAAACACTCGCATTTCTATTTAAACCTTACACTGGATAATTGATACGTACACAACCGATCACATAACTTGTTCTATTCATCATTTCACTTTATATAAACTCGTTAACAATATGATAGTATAAATGCCAAATGGTCATAAGGCAATTGTTACTCATATTGGTTAAGTTGCTTTGTCTTTTTTTTTTTTTTGTCTTGCATAAAGTCTTTTGTATTTCTTCTTTCAAATTTAATCTCATTTCGTTAGCAAACTCGTAGACAATAATTGGAATTGCTAGTTTGTAAGCAAGATTGTTTTTGTTCATGTCTATTCCGGATCGTCTTTCTTCATCCGTAAAACACTCTTGTCATGTTCAAACAATCGGTGATAAATTTATAGATCCATCAGCTTTATGATCTATGGCATTGTCATTTAGGTCATGTCTCGTCCGATAAAATCAAGTTGATTAGTCAAAGGAATCCAAGTGTCAAATATAATAACTGGACTCGTTTTGTTTGTCCTTTAGCAAAATAGAAACATCCGGCATTTCTCGTTCATAATAAAATTATTTCGAGTTCCCTTTGAATTAGTTCATATGGACATTTGAGGACCATATTCTATTGTTTCTTTTGATGGTTTTCATTATTTCTTAACCGTGGTTGATGATTACATTAAGGTTATTTGGATTTTTTTACTCATATATAAATTAGATGTCTTGTTTATCATCCCATCCTTTTACCAAATTATTATTACCCAATTTCATTTATCTATAAAACAAATTAAATCCGATAATGATGCTAAGTTTCATCTTCCTTCCTTTTACCATTTTAAGGGAATTATATACCAATTATCCTATGTTAAAACCGCTCAACAAAATGGTATTGTTGAAATAAAATACGAGTGTTTGCTAAATATAACCGGATCCTTTCTCTTTCGAGCTTTTTTACTTATTAAATTATGAGAAGATGTAGTTCTTACTCGTTGCTTATTTGATTAATAAGATTCCTTCCTCTTTGTTGAATAATCACACTTCTTATAAACTTCTATTCCAGTCTCCAATTTATGATCACCTAAAATTTTTGGTTCCTTATGCTTTGTTTCGACTCTTATGTATAAAAGGAAGAAAATTCAACCAAAAGCTTCGCTTTGTGTCTTTCTTGGTTATCCTCATAGCGTTAAGGGATATAAAGTCTATGATATTGTCTCTCACAAGATCTCTATTTCCGAAATCTTGGTTTCCATGAGACCATTTTTTCTTATTCATCATTTATTTTTTCTTCTATTCCTTTCACACCCGACATGTGCACTCTTTCTCCTACACTCAATTTGTTTGATTTCACCAGCATTCAACCTTACTATTGTATTTTTCTTCTTGGTGATCCACTTTCTATCCCGTATACAGCTATTGATACTTATCATATGAATTCCTTCTCTAATGGTCTAGTCACCGATTAACATGATTCTCCTTATGTCATGTATTTTTTTGATTCTACTAATACTAATACTAATATTGATTCTCATATGCTTTCGTTTATCCTTCTCTACGAAAGTCTACAAGATCCACTAGAGTTCTTTCATACTTAAGTATCTATCAACATTCTTCGCATCCCAATTCTACGGTTTCTCACGGTAATCCAATTTGCTCAACTCCTTATCCTATCCTTCATTTTGTTTCTATATTGCACTTTCTCCTTCTCATGCTACAATTACTAATTTTTTTATCTAACACCTTTGAACCAAAAGCATACTCCCAAGTCGTTAAATTTAAGCATTAGAAAGAGACTATATAGGTTGAGTAACAAGCTCTAGAGGAAAATAATACTTCATTTGTTGTGCCATTACCTACGGGATCTCATACGATGGATTGCAAATGGATCTACAAGGTTAAACTCTAGGTTGATGGCAATATTGAAAGGTATAAAGCAAGGCTTATTGCTAAGGGTTACGATCAAATTGAGGGCTTTGACTATAAAAAAACCTTTAATGTAGTTGCTAAGCACAC